ACTGGCAAGTGAAAAATCCCAGGAGGAACTTGGCAAGAGCAAATTGGGCCCACAGAGGAACTTGGCAAGAAATTAGGCCCTGCACCTGGAGCCAACCAGTGAAATAAAAGTACATATATAGTTCTGGGTCTTGCCCAGGTCAAGGTGTTCCCTTTTCAATAGCCTGTTTCCCCCCTTATGGTTTGGCCAGAACCAATCAGCTTAAAGGTCAATCTACCTCAATCTACCCAGTCCCCTCTTACCCAATCCTGTAACGCCAAGGCTTGGAATTCCCCACTTGCGGTTTTTCCCTTTAAAAACTCTACCCTCCCTAGGCTCGGGGCCGCTCTTTCTGAAGTGCTATGTCAGGGACAATTGACAGACCAAGCTTGAGCATGAATAAAGACCTCTGTGTGCTTGCATCGGACTCCTGTTCCTGGTGGTCTCTTGGGGATCTCATGATCTAGGCATAACAGCAGTTAATAGCTGACGGAGGGAGAGACATTTTTTCCTAGTCATATAGTCACTGGCAAACTGCCAATGCTCCTGTAAACAACCCTAATGAAAAGTAGTACTGGGGCGGGAGACACAAAATGGCTCGCTTATTGCCAAGGAAAGAACTGAGTCTCACCAGTTGTCCTCTCACCTCCACAGACATAGGTCCCCCCAAATCAATAAATATATATTTTTAAATATATATGAAAATAGAAGAGAAGATAGTTGGGAAATGGCAGGAGCTTAGCACGATTACAGTAGGAGGGGGACAAGAGACTGAATATAAAATATGAAGGTATAATAAAGCCCACTGTTACAAAATATGTGCTAATAAACATTAAAAACATGTAAAACAAACACTAAATATTTGAGGTAAATATTACCTCAAATACATATTAGCTCAGATACGTATTAGACTCAGAATACATATTAGCTCAATGCACTGCATAATTCTGCTTAGTTGGTTTTATTGAGATCAGTCTCACGATATAGTCCAAACTGGTTTTAAACTCAGCATCTTCCTGCTTCAGCTTCCACACAGTGGGTAACAGGATTCATCATATCAGAGAATGTTCTTGACTTATTAAAAGCTACATTTTAAAAATTCCTGTATATATCATACTTAAAAGAAATTTTGACTGGCTAGGGTGGCACACAATGTGTTTAAGGCCAGTGAGTTCCAGGCCAGCCAAGGGCTACATAGTAAGACCTTGTCTCAAAAATAGAAAGAAAGAAAAAGAGGCATTTTGAACATGTTTCTTTAAGACAAGAGACAGTGGTTTACTGCATTTGACACCTACTACTTTTATCTCTCTTCTCTTCCTCCCCTCTACCTTGTGCTGGCAAAGGAACCCAGAGCCTTGCACATGCTAAGCATACATTCTACTTCTGAGTTACATCAGCAGTCAGCCCCCAATATTCTTTTGTTTTGTTCTATTTTATAGGAGGCAGGGTCTTCAGAAGGCTTGGAACTCACTATGTAGCAAAGGGTAATTTGAACTCCTAATAATCATCTGCTTCCATCTCCTGAGGGATAGTATTACAGGCCCTGTTCTATGGCACCTAATATCCTTAATTATAAAAATCCCATGTGTGAGCCAGATGTGGAAGCACAAGCACTCAAGGAGGCAGAGACAGATGGATCTCAGTGATTTCAGGGCCAGCCTGATCTACAAAGTGAGTCACAGGATAGCCAAGTCTATTACACAGAGAAACCCTGTTTCAAAAAACAACAGCAAAATTTCGTATATGTATGGCTGGAAAGATGGATCTGTCAGTGAAGCTCTTGTCTCTAAAGCGCAAAGACCTGAGTTCAGATCCTCAGAACCCAGATAAAGTCAGATATAGGGGCTGGAAAGATGGCTCAGAGATTAAGAGCACTGTCTGCTTTTCCATAGGTCCTGAGTTCAATTCCCAGAAACCACACGGTGGCTCACAACCATCTATAATGGGATCTGATACTCTCTTCTGTCATGCAGGCATACAAGCAAATAACGTGCTCATATGTATAAATAAATCTTAAAAAGAAAACAGTCATACGTAGGAACATGTGTTGTAATCCAGTGATGGAAAGCTTGGAGGAGACAGGTCCTTGAGTATAGACACACATGTGCTGAAAAGAGACCACTCCTTTGCTGTGTTGTTTCTTCTGCCTAGAAGTGCCCCTCAGCATCATCCTGGGATCAGTGTTCATGTCAGGGGAAGAAGTAGATAACTCACCGTCTTTCATACTCCATGTCTTGATAAGATCTTCAGGAACTGCTGGAGCCCCTCTTCAGTTGCTGGCTCTGTCTCACTTCCCAGCTACCCTTGCTGCTGCCACCATGATCTGCCAGCCTAGGTGATAACTCCTGGAGAGACTCTGCAGAGGATGGATGGAAGAAAGGGGTCAAGGCAACTGGAGCAGAAAGGGCCTCCTTGAGAGACTGTCATAGTCAAAGTTATCTACTGTCTTGTAGCCCAAGGACACTGTTTTCCACTTTCTTGTGCTCCTGTGCATCAGTGCAGGAAGACAGCCCCTACTTGGCTTTCTGCTTCCTTTCCCCACAAGCATTAGGTAAGACTTCACTGCCTTTATCAAAGAGCATCTTACAGATATTTGGTGGAACCACAGGCTATGTGACCAAGGCTTTGAATTCTTAGACTGGTAAACAAATATAAGTCCATAGTTGCTTGCTGGGAGAGGAGGCCAAGTGCTGAATGATTAGACAAATTAGATAGTCACAGAAATAGGACGTCACAAAAATTGGATGGGGTTGTAGTTGAGGAGGTAGAACACTTGCCCAGCATGTTCAAGGCCCCAGTACCACAAAGCAATTAGCAAAACACCAAAAGATAAAACAGTAACAAAAGACATCACGACATAGCCTGGTGCTGTAGCTCTCGCCCCTAATCCCAGCACTTGGGGAGGCAGAGGCAGGCAGATCTCCGTGAGTTTGAATGCAACCTAGTCTACAAAGTAAGTCCAGGGCAGCTAAGACTACACAGAGAAACCTTATCTCATAAAAAAAAAAAAAGAAAAGAAAAGAAAGAAAGAAAAAAAAAAGACTTCACAACAATGGGAATCCCAGACTCCTCCCCATGGGTCAAGGTATCATTTCATCCTACCAACAGGATGTAGCTATACCCCTAACAAGGCAGTCAGAAACCTTGAAAAGCTTTTGGAGAGGTAGAGAGGGCTAACTTGGCAACAAGACAACTAACACCTCCCTGGGCTCCTGGCCAACATAGCTCTGGTCCTCAACAGAGCAAGTGGCTCAGCCCTGATGTGCAGCCCCTAGGTGGATCTCTCCCCAGGGATCTTGGACTAAGCTTTCCAGAGGCAAAAGGGCCTCTTTCCCAAGTGGTTCCAAAAGTATCTTGTTCTACTAAGAAGGGAGCAGTCACTTTATCCAATTTTGGGGGCTGCCATAAGAACTACAAGTCCTAATGCATGGTGCACACATCTGTAATCCTAGCATTTAGGAGGCAGAGGCAGGCAGATTGCTGTGAGTTTGAGGCCAGCCTGTTCTACAAGGAGAGTCCAGGACAGCCAAGGCTACACAGAGAAACTCTGTCTTGAAAAGCCAAACAAACAAAAACACTACAAGCCCTCAGAGTGTTGTGACCCAAACAAAAATCAGAATTATCCCTGAATCTTCAGCTGCCACTCCTTGTACAGGAACCAAGTAAAGCTAGGCAGTTACAGTACCTGCCACCTTTCCTTCAGGTACACCCTAAGCCAAGGGTAACCAGTTAACTGATCCTACATGGGGAAAAGAATCACAACCAGGAACCCCAGTGTCTGAGAACCTGATATAAAACGCTCAATGGCAAAAGGGTGAGTCAAACATTGTCATACACACAACACAGTTAAGATTCAAAGTTACAGAGGAGCTCCCAAATAACCAAGGGCCAAGACCACAGGATACCCACAAGGGACATAATCAAGCAGCTTCCCCCTTTTAACACTTGACATCAGTGTCACAGATACAACTCCTAAAACAAAACCATACATACATAGATGTACGTGTCTGTGTGTGTATTCGCTGTACCACCCTTCCATCCATCCCCACACACTCACTAAATAGGTTGTGGTTGGTCAGTAAGAAGACAGCTTCCTGATAAGGAGCGGAGGTCAGATACACACTCCAAGGATAAAAAAAAAATACAGTCACTTTCTCCCCGCTCGCCAACCCCATCCCTGCCACATAAATGAACAGAGGCCTCAGCTGGAGTGGACAGTTAAGTAACACAGGGCAGTCAGCACACCCCTGCTCTAACTCCCCCTCGCGTTCCAAAAGATAAAGTTCGGTGGAGCAAACACAGTAAGGCACAGTACCCCCACTTCCATCTGTCCCTCCCTTCCCCCAACCTTCGTGCACCCATCCTGTTTTCCATTCGCGCACGCGCTTTTGCTTTCATAAGAAAAAGCCGGGGTGGGGGACGACACCCCCTCTCAGGTGCAGGCTGTGCGTGCATCCCTCAACTCTGTGCGAACCCCGCGTGCGCAGTCTGGTCTCTGTGCCTCTTCTATGCACATCGGACCCCCTCCCCCAGCGCGCACCCCGCTCCCTAACCTCGGCCCCCAGGATCTGCAACCAACCGTGCTCACCTTCTTGGCCCTGGCTGTCAAGGGAGGGCTCCCAGGCATCACCTCCACCCGCCACCACCGCCTCTAGAACTACTAGTTCAATGGGAGCCGATGCAAGCAACAACCAAGCCCAAGGCTGGGGGCAAAAGAGAGGGAAAGGGGAGGGGAGACGCGCTGCCCTCCCAAAGAAACTCAGTGCCGCCTCCTCCCAGCCGGCCGCAGTCACCAACACAAAATGGCGACGAGAAGGGAGACGGCGCTCCGACCACCATCCACCTACTAAGGGAGCGCGCTCTGGCCGGCCTTGACTATTGGTTGCCGCCCGCAGTGGGCTGGCCCTGGCATTCTCTGATTGGCAAGCATATGCTACCGCCCCATTCCCCGTGAGAACGGCCCAGGAGTCCAGAAAGAGTAGGTATTGGCTACCCCATGAGGCCCGCTTTTTAGAAGCTTGCTTTCCTTTGAAGTTGAAAGACAAGCGGAAGCTCCACCTCTTTCCGCACAGGTCCGTCCAGATGTCACCGCTTTCTTAAGAAAAAAGGAACAGACCTCTCAAGAACAAATTCCTCCCAAATTCCTCCATTTTCCTCACAGAAAGGGTAAAGTTGATTCGGTGGGAGGTAAAACAGAGTCCGCACCTCGCTGCACTCGAAAACAAACTTAGACCAGGGATCTATTTAGCGAGGTGAAGGCGGAGCAACAAAAATCACACAGGGCTCAACTGCAGTTGCGCACATCGTATTTCCGTCCCCCTCAGTCTTCCCCTCCCCCAGACTCGGCAGTACAAGCTGTCATGGCGGCCTGGCTGTTAAGTTTGTACGCTCGCCGCCTTTCAGCAGCTGTGGCGTTACGAGGGCTCCCGGCTGCCCGCGTTCGCTGGGAATCCTCCAGGGCTGTAATCGCCCCATCCGCTGTGGAAAGAAAGCGGCAACAAGAACCGACCATGGTCTGGCAGGAGGACCCAGAACCCGAGGACGAAAACGTCTATGCGAAGGTGAGTGGGAGGGGAAAACGTGACGCCGCAGCGACCAATCTGGGACAGGCAGACCTATGTCAAAAAGGATGTTCTCCGGCCTGAGGCTTGGCGCTTTGGACAAGATCTTAAAAGATTCAGGAATTTTGCCTAGCTTATTTTCCTCCCTTTTTGTTTTGCTGTATTTGGTCTAGGACTCAAAGCGGGATTTGGTTTTGTGTGTGTGTGTGTGTGTGTTTTTTTTTTCTGTAGACAGAAATCACACTTAAAGTGGGAAGGCAGCGCCCTAAGCTCGTTAAAAGCATTATAACCATGATAATACTAAACTCTGAGATGCCACATGCTTGGTTCCAGTCTCTGCTAGACACTTTGTATCTATTAACTCATCTAAATTGTAAAGCAGCATGATTTTGAGGTAGGCACTATAACTTGTTACAATTATGTGGATGAGAATACTGAAACATGCATTGCTTGCCCAAGGTCACATAATTTGGAGTAGGTAGTGGAGCTGATATTTGAATTTAAGACTGAATTCCTATATTTTATGAATAGTAGAGACTGGAGTCAGAAGCCCTGGTTTCAGAATTATTCGCTTGTATGACCTTGGCAAGTAGTTTCATCTCTTGGTGCCTCAGGGTCTTTATAAAATAAGAAAAGTAATAGGACAGCTAAAAACAAATAAACAAACAAACAACAGATGTGCTTTGTGTGATTAAAGGAGTCAAAGTGGTCCTGCCACTTTAGGAGTACTCAGAATTAGAAGGTGTTTATTATTGCCATTTCCACTTTACTGGGATATTGTGAGGTTTGTGTATTTAAAAATGCCTAGCTTTATAAATACTTCATCAACACTAACCTCTGGTAAGGGGGTTAAACATACAGGGTGCTATAGAATAAGTGGGCCCATAGGATATTGGCAGTATCCAACCATTTGAAAGCTTTTATAAATAGCACTTTCCAAGGGTGCAACTTAACAGAAAGGGTGAGTACCCCCAAACAAGTAGGTGAGGCCAATTATTCATTTGGAAATAAAGTCAAAACCTTGGATGAGAAGGTCCTGATGGATTCAGCAATGATTACATTTGGAAGAAAGGCTTTCTAGGCAGTAGGAGCAGCAAACAGCAAAGCTCTGTGGTGGGAAGGAACTTTACATATTTTAAGACTAGGAAAAGGAATTTAGTGAGGGATAAGAGATTGGCTAGAGATTAGAGGGCAGATTAGAGACCAGGTCATGCAGGGCCAGCATATAGCTTTATGGAGCAACAGGAAGCCCTTACTGACCTTTCCTTCTCTTCAGAACCCAGATTTTCATGGTTATGACAACGACCCTGTGGTGGACGTCTGGAATATGCGGGCTGTCTTCTTCTTTGGTTTTTCCATCGTCCTGGTCTTTGGTACCACTTTTGTGGCTTATTTGCCTGACTACAGGTATAAAGGTTTTCCAAGAGAATAGAGTGGGCAATGGTAGAGGTTGGAGGAGTCTCTGGCCAGAATCCCTGCCCTGCACTGATGGGGGATGGGGTGCTGAGGTGGGGAACTGTTGTCTAATGAGGATCCCTCATATCAGACCACGCCTGTTGCTGTTCCTAGGATGCAGGAGTGGTCCCGCCGGGAAGCTGAGAGACTTGTGAAATATCGAGAAGCCAATGGTCTCCCCCTCATGGATTCCAACTGTTTTGATCCCAGCAAGATCCAGTTACCAGAAGATGACTGATGAATTATTGAGAAGGCTTAAGAAGCACTACTTTGCCCCCTGTCTGTTATTCTCCTGGTTCCTCAGAACACTGTATTAAAGGAATTACATGTATGACTAGTTACTCTTGCTTTTGTTATGGAAGAGGATATATGACAGAGAGTGTGTGACAAGCTTTACAACAGCCACTGATGCCAATCTTGATTGCCTGTTGCTGTGTAGCACTAAGGTTTGGTGGCTTTGTACTGTATTCCATGGCTCTGTGGATCGAATAGCAAGGGTATGTGGCTCCTGTTGGATCTCAGGTGGTTGCTATTAGGTAGTAGGGCTAGAGTCATCTGAAGCACAACTGTTCTGTACAGCCAAGGTTTCTAAAAAACATGTCTGGCACTTCAGGCTTCAGCACAGTAACCTGAGTTTCTTCAAGCAGTGACTCTCAACCTTCCTAACGCTCCAACCATTTAATATAGTTCCTCATGTTGTGATTCCCAACCATAAAATTGTTTTTGTTTCATAACTAATTTTATTACTGTTATGAATCATAATGTAAAGATTGGGGAGGAGGCATAGAGATTTGTCAAAGGGGTCATGACCCACAGGTTGAAAACCACTTGCTTAGAAGAGTTGAAGGCTCTTCTGGATGGAGATACAGCATATAGAAAGAAGTTGACAGCAGACCATCTATACAGACAAGCTACTGCACTGTATATAACCTTCCACATTTGAAGGTGTGCTGGGACAACTGGTGGGTGAGATCAGAGTTTTTCCATTGCTGAGTATGGGAATTTGGTACCCTGCTTTCTCTGCTTCTCTCTGGGGTTCCTGGCTTCTCTACTTCTGTCTTGTTTTTGTTTTGTTTTGTTTTGTTTTGTTTTTTAATTAAGCTTCTGTCTTGTATGTTGGTGAGTCTGGATGCTTCTTCTTATCCTTCTAATCTAATTCTGGAGGGTTTCCAACTTGACATACATCTCAGGACTGGGGATGTAGCTCAAGGGTAGAGTATACTGTAGGTTCCATCCCAGAACCACATACTCAAGAAAGATTTTGTTCTTTTTCTTCCTTCCTCTCCTACTCCTTTTTCATTTGTTTTTAGTTTTTCAAGACAAGGTTTCTCTGTAACAGAGTACCAGCTCTGGCTGTCCTGGAACTTGCTTTGTAGACCAGACTGGCCTTAAACTCAAAGAGATCTGCCTGCCACTGCCTCCCCAGTACTGGGATTAAAGGTTTGCACCACCACAGCATGGCAAGAGTGTATGCTTCTACTTGCCTTTCCCTCTTCCTCTTGTTCTCCCTTTCTCCCTCTTTCTCCTTCCTCTTCTCTCATTATGTTCATCCCTGATATAAGCTGTTTCCTTGCTATTGTCTGTTAGTCATGTGTCCACATATTGCTTTTTTTTCAGCATTATGAAAGCTAGCCTGATGGGGGCAGGGAGGGTGAGCTTCCAGTTCAGTGCCAGCATGATTTCCTGCAACCAAAGAATGAAGTGTCTTCAAAAAGAATATTACCATTTAGTTATGTTGGGCAATCAAGAGCAGTGACCTGTATTGTTTTGGGGGCCTCCCTGGCCTATAAATTGTAAGGAAATAACCCACTCCTGGCCTTGAGATTTTTGTGAACAACCTATAGTTTCTGGGAATATCTTTTTCCACCCATGCACTGTACCTTCATTCAAACTCTTGTTTGCTTTTTTGAGATATGGTCTCATAGCTCAGGCTGAGTTCAAGAATGACCTTGAACTTCCAATCCTCCTTCCTTTACCTCCAAAGAGCTAGGATTTATAGGTGTGTATTACCATGTCTGGCTCGTTCAAACTCTAAACATTATTTTGACTAAAATTTACAGACACAGGCTTTTGTAGGCTTTTTCTCATTTATCATGGTGGATATCATCTCTACCTAACCAAATCATAAAGCTTCTAAGAATTTCACAGGTGTGCCCTTATATCCCATGCAATTCCCTTTGCTTGCTCTTTTTGTTTGTTGCATGTTTTCCATACAAGTTTCTAAATTTGTAAAACACTCAGAGGGGCCCAGGTGCAGTGGTACATGCCTATAATCCCAGCACTTGGGGAGGCAAAGGCAGACAGATGTCTGTGAGTTTGAGGCCAGCCTGGTCTACAAAGAGAATCCAGGACAGCCAGGGCTACACAGAGAAACCCTGTCTCAAAAACCAACAAAACAAAAACACTCAGACATTAGCATTATATGATCTAGGTAATTATATTTTTTATTTGTGTGTGTTTGTGTGTGTGTGCCACAGAAGACAACTTTGCAGAAACTGATTTCCACCTTTAGCCATGTAGTTCACAGGGATGGAACTCAGGGCATAAGGCTTGGTGGCAGGTGCCTTTACCTACTGAGTCATATACCACCTGCTCTGCACTATTTTACAAAGGGTTGTCAGGATTATTAAAGGCCCACCACTTACTATTCTACACATTCTAGGAATCAGCTTCTAAGGGGATAGTTAAGAAAAAATTTTATCAACGTTCAATACATGATTCTGTTGCTTATATCATTTTCTCAAAAGATCAGTATTAGATACACTGGTTTGGATGGGCTAACTTAAGTTAACCTTCCACAATGCACAATCATTCTCCCTGAGTCTTTTTTTACCTCATCTTAGAGTATATCATGGGACACCATATGTCTCCCCACCTCTGAAGGGTTAAGTGGAGCTGGTTCATGCTGTTTTGAAAAGCTTGGGGCCAAGAGTCATAGAGCTGCACTCTCATCTTCTATATCTACAAGGCTCTCCTTGTCTGATAGCCTTTAGGCTAATGCTACAGCAGGCATTAGCATACAACCTCTCTATTGGCCATGCGTGGCTGCTGAAAAGGCCCCAATCTGGATAAACAATCTCCTCTCCAGCATACTTTGAACATTATTTTATTATTTTTAATTATGTATATGTGTGTGCCAGCAGGTGCTCATGAAGGCCAGAGGTATCAGATCCCCCTGAAGTTAGAGTTACAGGTGAGCCACCCAACTGGGTGCTGGAAAATGTACTTGGGGACTCTCTTCAAGAGCATTTTGATCTCTTAGCCACTGAGCCATTTCTCCAGCTGCCAGAATACATTTTAAAAGATATGTTTATCTTATGTATGAAGGTTTGTCTGCATATGTCTGTGCATAGCATGTGCAGTGCCCACGTATGCCAGAAGAGGATGAGGATGTTGAATTCCCTGGAACTGGAGCTGCCTATGTGAGTGGTGGGAATTGAACCCAGGTCATCTGAAAGAGCTGAGCCACAGCTGGGGGTGGTGGTACACACCTTTGATCCCAGCACTCAGGAGGCAGAGGCAGGTGGATTGCTGTGAGTTCGAGATTAGCCTGGTCTCTGCAAAGCGAGTCCAAGATAGCCAAGGCTATACAGAAAAACCTTGTCTCAACAAAACAAAACAAAAACCTAAAAAAAAAAAAAAATAGGCTGAGCCTTTCATCAGCCCCATCCCATTTTCATTTTGTTTTGTTTTGTTTGAGACAGGGTCTCACTATGTAGTTCTGGGTTGCTAAGAACTCACAACTCATGCTATAAACTAGGCTGGCCTTGAACTCAAAGAGCTCCACCTGCCTCTGTGTTTGCCTCTGCTTTCTGAATGCTAGGGTTAAATACATGCAGCACCCTCCTAGCTTATTTTCTGTTTTTTTTTTCCTTGGGGGGTGTTTGTTTGTTTGTTATTGTTAAGCCCTGGCTGTCCTGGAACTTGCTATGTAGACCAGGATGGCCTCAAACTCACAAAGATCTGCCTGCCTCTCCCAATACACTTTCTCACAGACAGGTGAGAAAGGTGAAGTTAACTCTAGGTAAGTATAATTGCCTAGTCTTGGAATAAGCCATATTGAGATTGCCCCCACAGATGCCACACCATAGGATGTCTTAGCTTCAGTTGATTGTCTTTTTACCCACAGTAGAGACAATGCAACTGTTATTCCCACATTCACCATTATCATGTTTCTAGGTGCAGAGTATTGTGTCAGCTTTTTCTGGGGAGACAAGAACAAGCATCTTATCTATTCACTCCAGATATTTCACTAAGGACAAACTGGGGAGCTGAGGAAGCTTTGAGAGTGTGAAGTCCTGAGTGAATACCTGTTGTTGGCATGGCTGTAGCCATACTAAGAATCCCAAAGTCTCAGATCCATGGGAAAATGGCAAAGCCTTTCCCAAGATAGAGGCCCATGGAAATGGCAGAGGCTTCCTTTCTGTTTTAAGTGCAGATGGTGATAGTATCTACAGAAAATGTCCACCATAGCTTTCTATGCACTCCCATATTTACGACCTGAAGACTCCTACTCTGCAGAGACTGCTCCCACTAAGATCAGTTAATTCTGTCTTCTCCATCAAGCTATGTTCCATAAACCCTGCCTCCTTATTTATCTGAATCCCATCTCTGTTAATTCTATACAATAAGCATGCTGAGCTTCCTAGGGTGCTATGGTTCTTCCATCAAAGAACCTAGTTCACCAGAGACCAGCTTTTCTTTTTGTCTGTGTTTGCTTTTTCTTCATTCCATTGTTGCCCCTGTTGAAGCCATGCAACAGACTTCATGCAACAGAGAAACATTTCCATATGTAGCTTGGTGAACATATGGTCTTAATTGGGATTACTTACAGAAACATGAGTGAGGGGTTCAGCTGTTCTCATTTTAAGACAGCAATAACAACCCCATTCCTAAAGAACAGCATTCCACAAAGATAAAAATTCTAGAGGGACAGGTGTGCAAGTGCATTCTACTCAAAGCAGTGCTCAGCATAGTTTGTGCTTGAACATTTGGTCAACTTCTTAGTCTTTTGGCTAAGATAATGTGCTGTCTCTGTTCTTAATCAGTTTATTATCCAACATGTCCTTTGAGGAAAATATATTAAAAAAAAATATATATATATATATACACACACACAGGGAGATGGAATACCTTACTCTTTCCAATAATGCATGAATCTAGCATTATGAGACCCTTAGGAATGGTACATTTTTTTTGAGAATTTAAAATTGGCACATTGCCAGGTGGTGATAGGACACACCTTTGATCCCAGCACTTGGTAGGCAGAGACAGGTGGATCTCTAAATTTGAGGACAGCCTGGTCTACACAGTGAATTCCAGAACAGCCAG